CACACAAATATATAAATATGTGATGGAAGGATGGGGGGGACTTCCTTTTTTTTTTTTTTTTTCCCCCCCCCCCTTTCTTTTGTTTGTTTTATTTATTTATTTTTTTTTTTTTATGATGAACGTTTTTGGCACTTTTTTCCCTTTTTTTTTCCTTTTTTTCTCGCTGCATGCGATGCGTTTATTCTGGCAGGATTTTCATGTATTTTACGTGTCGTCATGCGGGTATTCCCCAAAGAGAGAGAGAGAGACCGACAGCCAGAGAGGAAGAGGCATGAGAAGAAAAGAGAGGGGGGGGGAGGGGGGGAGGGGGGAGGGGCACATAAAATGTGGAACGATTGGAGTGAACGATATTTATAAATTTATTTTTATTTTTATATACAAACAGACAGACCGACAAACACGCATACATTTATAAATATGTATGGAATAAAAATTGTAAGGAACGGGGGTCTTTTTTTTTTTTTTTTTGGTTGTTTGTTTGTTATGAACAAAAAAAAGAAAAATATAAATAAAATGGAAGGGAAGGGAGGGGAGGGGAGGGGAATATTTTGTGTGTTTTTCTTTTTTTTTCTTCTCCCTGCTCATACACACACACACACACTTATAAATATTTATATTTATATTTATATTTTATTTATATACATGCGGCCTTAGAGCGACCTTGGCATCTTTTTCTTTTCCCGCCACTACCACTCATACCATTACCCCCTTACATGTAGAGGCATGCACCCATGCCTATTCGTAATGTAAGAAGGCATTGGAATGGTTGGGTGCGTGCATTGGATTTCATGGATGACGGGATGAAGATGGCGAGGGTACCGTACACTCCACTGAAGCTCAGACGAAATTATTATTTATTTATTTCTTCTTTTTTTTTTTTTCTTTTCTTTTCTTCTTGAAGGAGAAGTATTTGCTTCTTTTTCCTCTTTTTTTTTTTTTTTGTGTGTGTGTTTCTTTGTCGTTGTTGTTATATTTTTGTACTTCTTGTTTCTCCTACGTGCTTTGCCCCGGATCCGTGCACACACACACAGACACAGACACGCAAAGACAGACTAATGCACGTTAAGGGACTCGGCATGAGGATGTGATGATGACTTTCTTCAATTTCCCTTCAATCAACGCGGCTGTGGGCATGTGCGTCCATGTGTGTGTGTGTGTGTGTGTGTGCGTTTCTGTGTAAATGCGCCCCATGGCATACTCCTGCGCGTACTTCCACATCTGCGGGAAGAGAAGAGAAGGGAGGAGAGAGTGAAGGGAGGTGTGTGATGCACATAGGATGGGAAGTACTGAAGTGCGGAGGATTAAAGAAAAAGAAAGGAGGGAAGAAAAAAGAAAAAACGAAAAAAAGAAGTGAAGAACTTTTGCCTTTACGTGGAGGTATTTTTGGTTGAACAGTCTCTATGGCGGGCCGCCTTGATATATTTTGACTTTGTCTGTGACGCACGAGCACATGACGTCAATTTTACTCCCCTCCCTTCTTGTTTTTTTTTTTTTTTTGCTTTTATTTTTGTGTTTTTGTTTTGTGTGTGTATTTTTTTGTTTTTTGCGAAAATTTGGGGGGTGGAGAAGTGGGGGGGTGGGGGGAGACGTTAAAAACACGCGAGACTTCCCTTTGACTAACTGAGCAAATGAAACCTAAATGAGGTGTGAGGTGCCAGAAGGGAAAGAAGGATAAAATGAGGGACTGTGCATGTGCATGTGAGAGGGAAAGGAAGGAAGGAATAATAGAGAGAGAGAGAGAGAGGGAGGGAGGGAGGGGAGGAATGCGAGGGAAGGATAGTGTGTAACAAATACTCCCCCCTACACACACATGCACACACCCACATATGTAATATAATATATAATATATAATATATATGTGGGTGCACGCATCCCTATGCATACACCAAGACCTACACGCATGCTCATGTTTCTTAGGGTGGTTTTGTTTTGTTTGTTTGTTTGTTTGTTTTTTTTTTTTTTCCTTTTTTTTTTTTTTTCACTTTTCTCTGTTTGCAGTGACGTGGTCTTTGGGGTGTGTGAAACTTTGCCTGCGTCCATTCCACTGCGCAGTAGGGGAGGGGACCACCCAATCACTGCCCTTTTGTCTGTTTGTTTCTGTGAGTGAGTGAGTGAGTGGATTGAGTGTATTTCTGCGGGTGGTTGACTCGACCCCTGCCGT